TTTACTATTAATGCTAAGGAATTATAAGTTTTATATTTGGTGAAAAAGTGTCTGAAAACTTTTGTCCACCCTCTGTACTTTATTTTCAATGATATAGCGGTTATATAAAGTGAAAAATATCTCGAGTCCTAATTTATAAAATGATATTTCCTTCCTGTTATATCTAATTCTATTTTTTTGAGAACGTCTATCTACATCATATCATAATATGAAGTATGAATATTTCTGACGAGACATCAGCAATTTTAAAAAATACGAACATTTTTTTTTGATTGTGCTGACTGATTATGCACTTGCAGTTCTGAGCTTACAAGCTAATAGATAATTTTTTATTTAGGATTTTATGAAAATATATTAACATTACAGAAAGCAAAAAACATAAATTATTGGTGGGTTTATTAAGATCAATACTGTTAATTTATTTTTGACTCTACAAGTTCCATGTATAACTGATGACCATTTTATTCTATCTAGAATATCGATGTTAGAGAAAAATAAAATCAGATTAATATTGGGATATTATGTTAGTATAGATAGTTTAGATGAATAAAATACTAGTGTGAGTCTGTAGGGATTAGTATAGAAACATTTCATTTTGTAAAATAAAATTACAGCATGTACCTTTTTGTGTGTATTAATAAAATATTTTTTTCTCGACAAAAGTGATCATGTGAGAGACTATCATCCAGTGCAGTACGATATCAATGAAAGATTTGCTTTATCTTTAAATAAACAGTATAAAAAAGTGTTATTGAAAAAACAATATTGGAGAGGAACTTCTAGACAAGATATTTATGCAGTTAAGATGGATTTACTTTCAGTTATATATGCATTTGCAAGAAAGCAACAAGCTAATAACAATTTTTTTCATTTAGGATTTCAAAAATCATATTAGTATTACGGAAGGGCTAGCAGTATAATGCTTCGCTCATATAAAAATTTTTTTATCATTTTAGTTCTAAGTAGTGTCATCATGTAGCCTGTATTTTGTATTTTTTTTTCTTGCATAATCAATAAAACAAAGGTCAAATTTACTAGTTATGGAAAGCTTGTATTCTAATATTTTTGATTAAGTTTATTGTAACAAAATCATTAATCCAGAACCTGATAAATGCATAGTATCATTTATTACATCTCATGTATTATGGGAACAAGCAACTGCACATAATAATTTATTCTCAAACTTTTTAGTATATTCTCAAAATTATTACATATATTAAAAAGCCCCCTTAATGATCTTTATATATGGACAGCATTAAATACTTTATTATTAAATTAAAGAGAGGTGGTTGATTAGATTTTTGTAATACGATTATATTAACGTAATTTCCTCCAAAAGCGTATAACAAAATCGATCCTGCAAATTATATAAAAAGGTGATGTCTTTATTAATGAACCCTTTATTTACCTTGTGCAAGTATAACAAAAAAATTAAGTGGAATAATCAAACTTATACCATTAATATTATCATTCAAATGAACAAGTATATTCTGCAAAGTGATAACAAGATATGTGCTTAGCTAGCTTCTTGAAACATTTCATCACAATATCAATCAATTTTCCCGCCTCTATAGATATTCTAAAATAAAATGGACATATTACTATTTTTGTTATATATTGGTATTTTGATCTTTACTGAGAAAATTACTGATCATAATTATGCGTACAACTAGCACAGTATCATAAAAATAAATCTCTGTGATAGGATATAAAATTTATTCAATCAAATTTTTTTTTATCTCATTTTTTGCAAATTATTTCTTTTTTGAATTTCTGTGCCCAATGTCTGCAAGTACTTTTTCAGATAGTCTTTCATTAGTTGAAAATATTACGAAATGGAAGAGGAAGAATGTTCTTGATTTCTTACAAAAGAATAAAGAAGTCTTGGATATTGAGCCTAGTAATATCAAGATAATCAAAGATAATAGAGTTGCTAGTCTTACCTTCCTTGGCTTGACTGAACAAAAGTTTGTCAATCTTCCTTATAGTTTTCTTAACAGACCGGCTGGAGCAATAGCGAATTTAGTTAAGAAAATTAATGACAAAAGGCAAAGTATTTGAGTCAAAATAAAATATTTTTTTCATCTTCACTGTCATATTCGCCAATAATACTGAATACTTACTTATTTTTATGCTTTCTTTCCTGTTTCTTATCATCAAACCTGCTCAAAAAATACATTTGAGTTATCGTAAAACAACCTGGTACTGGTAAGTAAGTCACAATAAATTTGGTCAATGTGAGTGAACATGATATGGCTCCTAATGTTAAAATATATACATTATTTCCTGTTTAACATCAGAAGTGAAGAGACCTAAGCTTTTCATCGATTTCTTATCAGATCATAGGAGAATTATTTCAGCTGATGAAAGTCCAATCACTTTGATTCCCTTTGTTTTTCGCTCTCAGATAGAGGAGAAAC